CCATGGCTGGAGTGCAATGTGTTCCAGCAAAAATAGTGCACATCTTTATTAAATTTGGTGCATCTTGCTAGTTTGGTACACAGCCTGTGTAGATTCAATAATATTTTTAATTCAAATAATGTATGATTTCCTTCCTTTTGAATCAAGGGGGTAATGTTGGTGTATATAAATTTTTTTTGGGGGGGGTAAAAGGTAAAAAATTTCCCTGACCCCTGTTCTTGTGGTACTCTGTGAATTCACATAAATGGGTTAATCCTGTGCCTGCGCAAGACATCCAGAAGATTCTAGAGCTTGGAAAAAAGAAACAATCTAGTTCCCCCCTGCATGGTATAGGCTCCACCCCCTCAACCTTCCTTTCAGTTCCCTGAGTCCACCGTTACCATATAGAGTGAAGATGAGTATGAAAATTTGATAGTATTGAGATGGACAACAGGGAGGAAAGAAGGGATGTGTGAATTCACAGAGTACCACTAGAAGAACCATAGTTACAGGTAGGTAACCTAACTTTCTTCATAATGGTCTCTGTGAATGCACACAAATGGGTGATTAGCAAGCTGTACTCACCAGAAGGAGGGCCGTCACAGTATCAAGGATGCCAGTATCAATGTATTCACGAAGGCTCTGTGACAGTATCGCCCTTCCAAAGGCCGCATCACTTTTGGCTCTGACATCGAGGGGGTAGTGTCTCATGAACGTCAGAGGGTTAGACCAGGTAGCTGCTCTACAGATGTTCTGTATCTGAATACCCTTGAGTAGAGCTGTCGAAGTGGAGACCGCTCTAGTACAATGTGCCTTCAAACCATCCGGTATAGGCTTATTAGCACGCTGATAAGCCAACTGTATGAGTTGGACTATCCATCGGGATATGGTTTGTGGAGAAGCAGGAGCACCTTTGGTGGGTCTGTGACAGCATAAGAGAATGTGTGGAGAACGCCTAAGGTGTTTAGTACGGTGAAGATAGACGGCAAGAGCTCTTCTGACATTGAGGGTGTGGAGTTTACACTGTATTGGCGTGGACGGAGAAAGAAATAATGTTGGGAGCACAATAGGCTGGTTGATATGAAATTCCGAAACCATCTTTGGTAGGAAAGAGACGTCGAGGCATAAAGTAACCTTGTCAGGATGCATGTGGAGGTAAGGAGGATCTGACCGGAGTGTGGCTAGTTCGCTTGCTCTTCTGGCTGATGTGATAGCCATGAGAAAGGCAGTCCTTAGGGAGAGCAACTTCTCAAAACAAGTAGCCATAGGTTCAAATGGTGGTTTGGTAAGGGCTTCCAATACAAGTGGAAGGGATCATTGTGATACGATATGCTGTGAAGGGGGCCAGATAATCTGCAGGACTTTAAGGAATCTTTTAACTGTAGGATGGGAGAGAAGTTTGGCAGAGCAAGATTGAGGAGGTTGGTGAGCCATGATTGCTGAGATGTACACTTTGAGAGTGGAATGACCAAGTCCAAGATTGAAGAGGCGTAATACAAAGGTAAGTACGGTGGAGAGAGATGCTGGTACTGGGACAAGTCCGTTCGATTGAGTAAACTTAGTAAAGGATTTCCACTTACTGTCGTAGAGACAGGAAGTAGATGGCTTTCACGCTTTGTCTAAGATCGCACGGAACTGGGGGTTCCACGCGGTCAGGTGGAGAGACTGGACATCGGGATGGAGAAGGGCCCCATCGTTCTGCGAGAGGAGGGACGGTATTGGAGGTAAGTGAAGTATTTCCTCCGTTATTTCCGATAGGTGAGCGAACCATGGTTGGCGCGGCCACCAAGGAGCGATGAGGATTGCGTTTGTTCAGTATTGAATGATTCTGGTTACGGTTTTGAGAAGCAGTGGTATTGAAGGAAACAGGTAAGTGAGCTCCCCATACCAGGAAGGTGTCTCCGAGGGAGGAGGCATCTATGCCTGCCCTGGAACAGTATCGGTTGCATTTGGTATTCAAGTGGGATGCAAAAAGATCTACTGTGGGCGGCCCCGATCGATGGCAAATGTCCATGAAGACTGTTTGGTTGAGAGCCCACTCGTGCATCCTGATGGGTAGCCTGCTTAGGCGGTCTGCCAGGAAATTGTCTTGGGATGAAATGTGGATCGCTTGAGGAAAGATTTGCTGAGTACGGCACCATTCCCAGAAATGTATGGTCAAGCGAAGGAGGGGCAGGGATCGAGTTCTGCCCTGTCTGTTTATGTAATGTATTACTGTGGTATTGTCCGTTACTATCTGCACTACTTGTCCTTTGATATGTGGGAGGAAAGCCTGGAAGGCTTTTATGACGGCCAACATCTCTAGCTGATTTATGTGAATGGTCTTCTGACGTTTCGTCCACAGGCCGAGAATTTGCAGCTCTTGACAATGAGCCGCCCAACCTGAGGGGCTGGCATCCATGATGACCTGGATGGATAGATAAGGAGGGTGAAATAGTCTCCCCATCGATAGGTTGTTGGGAATATTCCACCAGGCGAGATGGTGCGCCACATGTGGAGGGACCCGTAGCTTTTTTGTAGGAGGGTCCATTAGGGGATCGTACTGGGTGAGGAACCAAGACTGAAGTGGTCGGAGCTTGAGTCTTGCGTGAAGCACCACTGAAGTGCTGGACGCCATAAGACCTAAGAGGTGCTGAGTATCGAACGCAGTCACGGTTGCGAACAGTGTAAATTTGTGGACTGCCACCTGGATCTTTAGAATTCTTTGAGGCAGTAGGAAGGCTCTTGTGTGGATAGAGTCCAGAGTTGCTCCTATGTAGGAGACAATTCAAGAAAATACAAGGTGAGATTTTTGCCTGTTGATCTTCAACCCCAGTTTGTTTAGAATACAGAGAGTGAGATTTGTGGCAGAGACGGCATCTTGATAGGATTTTGCCAATTGTCGATATAGGGAAAGATCTTTATCCCTCTGGTACAGAGGTACGCCACAACTGGAGCCATGCATTTTGTAAATGTCCTGGGGGCTGTGGAGAGCCCGAATGGGAGAG